GTGGCACCCATAATGTCATCACCTCATATTCAGCCAACTAGAAATCAACAATGATTGCCTAAGGTGAAAGGTAATCACAACCTAAGCCATGGTAACCTGTTCACCAACCTCAACGGTCAATCAACATTCTTAAATTCAGGTGACACATACTTTTAGGTCAATATTGTAGCACATATATGACTTTGGATAGCCAAGTTTCTTGATTAGATGCTTATAAATAGAGGCAAATGGTATCCTCCAAGGGGTTGGATTTAATATATTCTCTCTAATACATTCCAAAAACATTCCAATAAATGCAAATCACTTTCTTCTTACTGTTCCAGCGAATTACCTCATTCATTTTATCAATTAAGTTGATCAATATTGACCACGTCATTTTTTAGCGTCAACAACAAATACAACATCTAACAAAGTGATTGGATTTGAAATAAAATTAAAGTTTGGATCTTATTTACCATGTCAAACCTTTTATAAATTTAGCTTATTATGTCCAAGTTAAATGTATTTAATTCAAATTGACTTTAAATGATTTAAAGAAGCTATTTACAGCCTAATTGCTAAATAAAATTATGTACAGATTATGTACCAGTTGTTAAATACTATTAGAATAATAATGCTTCAACATGGTCAATGACATGCCAACAATGGACAGATTAATTTGGCAGCATCTGTTTGAGTGGCTTTTTTTTTTTTTTTCAAATTATTCAATCATGTATCGATACAAGTCTCCCCTATTTTTTAATCTGTCATTGAGCCTATTTATGTAGCATAATTGATATTATTATAATAAGCTAGAGATAAATAAATATTTATTAAATGATGTCGAGGATTCCACGAGCAAAAGCCATATCGACCATGTGACCTTCACGTGTGGCCTGACTCTCTTGTTCAGTACAATTACTCAATTTTTAATGTATAGAAAGTGCAAGAAGCAGTGTGGGACACTTCAAATGACCTGTCATAGGTTGTTTAACTGTAAGCACTTCTTGCTTCAGTTGATTAGTAATTAATAATATCTATCCTCTGTTTAATAGTTACTAAACCCCAGTTTGAAACACGTATTTAAGAAAATAATGTATTTTAAATAGTGATGTAATGAAAAATATGTGATTAAAAAAGAAGAAGAAAATTTAAATTTGCATGTAATATTAATTTAATAAAGATTGTGTGGCTGTAAATGAGTATTGAAAGAATACATTTTTTTTAAAAAAAAATGTGGATCAAACATGTTTGGCTAAGCTTAAAATTCAATTAAAATCGAAAATATAGTCGTTATTAGGTCTCACTTGTCTAATAAAAATCAACAATAATGGTCAATTTTTCAATTTTAATCTGATTCATGTCCAGGGAGTCAAATCTTAATAATATCTATCCTCTGTTTAATAGTAACTAAATCTAGATTTTAGTTAAACTCAAAGTCAATATTAATTTTAATCACATTTTTACGGGATTCACAATTTTTTAACCACAGATATAATCAACTTTTATCAAAATCTATTAAAATTTTAATTTTAACCCCTATCAAATAAGGGCTTAATATTCTTCAATGAAGCCGCTCAATATGTTAATGTGTCATGGATGATCCACTAATGAGGCCTGGCTCAATGAACCCATTGAAATATCTGTGTGAAGAACTGGAGTTCTATCACAAAAGACTTAACCTATTTATCATAATAACTCACTGTTCCTCATAAAGTAAAACACGTTACGAAGGTGAATAAAATTAAAAAAGAAGCATGTAAACTTTTCTTGGAATCATGATATGTGTACAAAGTAGGTTGACAAACTTAATTTAAAAACTCTTAGAAATTGAAACTAGCAGAAAAACGTGAACCAGCAAAGATGAACCAGTAGTAGAAACGAAACTAAAATTGAAGCTACTCTACTGCAGGATTAGCATGAAAATAAAGGATAGGTACAATATGAATAAATACATTGAAAAAACTTGATGATAGAATATGTATAACACTTATTATTCATCAAAAGTTCAAGTAAAACATTGAATACAAAACTCTATTTATATAGTAAATTTCTAACAAACTAAAGAAGGATCTGGAACAATCTGCACGTGTTGGTGAGCATGTGAGATTAGAAGGATCTGGAAGAATATTCATTGCTAGACGTGTGATCTGCTACTGGAACTGAATTTGGAATATTCCAACAAAAACTATGTGTTGTCAACATTTAAACTTATCATTTCAAAAACAGTTTTTGAAATCAATGACCTACATTTTGTCAGCATTTATTTTTTCTTGTACAACTAGATTAATTGCTTTTCTTGAATGACAAAGAAGACAACATAAAACCTTGAACTCAAATATCGAGATTGACCTTCAAGTGGTTCGAAGAGAGTAATTTATATCATAATTAGGGTTTAATGGTAGTGTGTACCCTTAGTAAAATGGGGAAACACGAGGTAACTAAGCAAGTGGGTTGGCTTTAATTAATACTTTTAAATATAGTTTATCGTTAGTCGAGCTGCCAATGAATTTGATTTAAAGCTGTCATTGAATTTGATTTTGATACAAAATATTGGAAAAAAAAAAGATTCAAAATCTTAAATTTGGCTATATTATAACTTCGAAATTTGCTTGCAATACAGTTTATAAGCCAATTTTCTAGCTATTGGCGAAAATTCCGAACTATAAATTTTATATTTTAGTTGGATTGAAACTTACTCTATTTTTTCCTTACTATCAAAATCTTTAAACTATCAAAGAAGAAACATAATTATTTGAATTGTGTTTTCGACATACTTTTTATATTTTTGAATAATCGAATACTCAATTATTAAATCTTATCTAGTTCTACTGTTACCTATGATTTGTACAAGTGTTCCCACACAAGTACATAGGTTTGGTTACAAGATAAGATAAGATAATTCTTGTCCTTCAACTTTATTAAGGTACCATTAGGATGTGACATTATTGTCATTAAGCTTTACAAAAGTACTTCAGGATTTTATGAACTGAACATTCCAACAGTCAAACTGGCTGCATAGGTCCATGGAAACAAACTAAAAGAGAAAATGCATGGAAAAAAAGCATAGCAAATAAGATCCAAACACCTCAAATTAAGAGGATGTTTGATTCTCAAGGTATTTTTTGGTATACGTATATAATATTTTATCGTGTGAATATATGATTGAAAATGATTATATAGCAAACTATAAAATAAATTAATGTGTGTCAAATGGCACTAAGTACCTAATCATTAACATTATGTCTATTTGGGGCAGTTCATAAGCTAGGAACATGAATTATGCTACCTCTTAGATGTAATGGCAGACCCATT